CATGGCAACAGTAGTGAGGTTGACTCAGGATCAGGCAGTGTTTCATTCTGTTGTGTATGGGGTTGCTATGAGTTGGTACCGACTGGATGGCACCTAACAACAACAACAACACAGTAGGAGTCCTGGTGTGGCGCTGTGGGTTAATGCGCCAGACTACAAAGCTGTCTGAACTGCAAGGTTGGTACTTCAAGCTCACCAGCCGCTCTCTGGAAACCTTATACAGGGTTGCTATGGGTTGAAACCGACTCGACGGTACTTAATAACAACAAGTACATAGTATTGTGCTTACTCCATTGTAAGCATTCAGTAAATATCTGTAAAACAATGGGTGTCAATACTCTATAATTCATCCAGTTATGAAATCTGACTGAAGTGCAAGGGGACCGTAGGTCCCATGTGCAAAAGTCAAAGGTATCTTCCGAGTTGGTGAGCTGTCATTTGTTTGTTACTTGTTAACTGTGTTAAAGTGTAAATCTGAAGAAGCCCAAACAAAAAATTCTATCCCTGGCCAGGTAAGAAAAACTTACTTGTATACAAGTTTCTCAGCGGACAGAGAAATTCACTGGAATTGCTTTTGATACTGAGACTGTGACCAATCAAAGCAAAATGACGCAGAAGTATGATTTTAATAGAAAGCATTCTCAATGTAGCAGGAATTCTAATTTGACTAGTGTGGCATAGTAAATAGTTTCATGTGTTTCTTCTAACCTTAGTCTTTGTCACTCCCAACAAACGACTCTTTTCTGAGTAAGAGACGGTGGGAGAAGATGCTGATGGGCTGACCTGACTCAGCTGTGGACGTTAGCAGAGGGCACTGTAATTGTGAAAACTTGACGCTCTAACATGGGCTTAAAGGGGTCATCTCAGAAGCAGGAGGGGGATCTCTCTATGACGGGAAAAGAACCAGGAGTGGACTGGATCCTGTGGATCCTAAGATCCCTGCCTGCACATTGACCCTCCTCAGCCCAAGGACAGAAAGCTGAGTCCGCAGAAGAGAAGCCAAGGACCCACCACAGCAGAACCAAGAGCCAGAGTGTGAGTTAGAGAGGTGGGTGGGTCAAGTGAGAGACTCCGGGCTCCTGCAGAGGCCATTTAATGGGGGACTAAGGAGCTCTGGTAGCATAGTGGTTACGAATCAGGCTGCGAACCTTAAGGTCAGCAGTTCAAAACTACCAGTCACTCCGTGGGAGAAAGATGAGGCTTTCTACTCCCGTAAGGATTTACACCCTCAGAAACCCTGTACAGGGTCGCTATGGGTCGGAACCGACTCGAAGACACTTAACTTAATGTTTACAGAACACGGAATGGAGCGAAAGCTGAGCACCTTCAGGCTCATGTGGGCATTTATCAGTAGCCCTAGAAGAGCTTTAAGAACATTACTTGAGCAGGGAGAGACCTGCCTGTGGGCATGGCAGACCTGACCGGAAGAACTGCGCCCAGAGCTCCTGTGACCCTGAATTGTGCCCTGTTAACTCCCCTAAGGAACCCCTTAACTGTGACCACTGCAATGACTTATTGAATTCAACTCAGGAGTGCAGAGGGTTGTGGAGGGATGGTTGGCATCATTGTTTTTTATGTGTTTTTTTGCAACTAGTACAAAAAGGAAATATGTGTGCTTCAAATAACATATAATTTTAGTTTTTTAATGACAGCAACTTACTCTAATTAAAAAACATATAATGAAGTTCTAGCAGGTAAGACTAGTTAAAAATGACGTGGGAGTAATCTTAGAATGACACGCATGACTGGAATGTAGTTTAAACAAAAATAAGTTAAAATACAATCAATTTTATTAGACCTTCTGTCCAGAATAATTGAGAAAAAAACCTCAAAGAATCAGAAACTGGTCGTATTTATTTAGCACTTTAAGGAGGTGTCACCAGGAGTGATGGCAGGGGGTGCAGATGAAGAAGCAGAGAAGATGAGCTAAGGGACAAGAAAATGAGAGGGAGAAGGTCAAAGAGGAAGAGGAGAACAGACAGAGGAGGGGGAGGGAGAG